GTAACTGCGCATGTGTCCTTTACTTGGTTCCTTATCATAAATTAATAAGCGGCATTTAAAACAATTATAAACATATAATACACACTGTTTCTCAATATTTAATTACAGCTTCAGATGCATGATATTTTCATCTCCTCCAAGCAGTATACACAAAAAGCACGTTCAACTCAGATAGTTGTCATGGTAATAAACGCCATAAACAGCAACCGTTCGCGTGTCAGTGCTTAATGCGCATCTCCTATATGAAAATATTTTTTTGGGGCCCTTGGCTTTTGGGGGCCCAAGGCGGTCACCTACCTTTGCCTAATGGGTAAGTCCGCCCCTGCGTGCAACTTAACCTCAAGCACGCTAGTTCAAACAACGGATTCTATCACTCTGAAAAGAATCATACGAGAACAGACGTGAATGCATCGCTATAAGTGCCTTATAGAGAGCTGAACATGCTCATGCAAACACTAACTACCATCCCTCAGGAGAGAGCAGAAAGGAAAGAGTTCCTTACCTGTCTCTTGTAGTCAGTCTCGTGAATGCATCATACTTAGCGCATCCAGCTTGCTCGAAGAGAAGACGTCATAGTCTGCCGCCTGCCAATGTCAAGTTCATTGTCGGGTTTAGACTCATGCTTCAGACAGCGGTCATGCTAGGCTTACCCCATAGCGCCCTCTAGAACTGATCATAAAATTTGATTGGCTATTTTTTTTCTGTTTGTCCACCAGGTTCTACTCATGAATATAGTGCTAGTCCAGATGATCTGGTGTTTAAGACTTTGGCTAAGGCCTACTCCAGCTATAACCCAGTGATGTCCGACCCAAACCGGCCGGCATGCCGCAAGAATGATGATGACTCCAGCTTCAAAGAGGGCATCACTAACGGAGGAGCCTGGTACAGTGTGCCTGGAGGTATAATGCACAGCTTCTGTAAATCACTCATATACTGTATTAATTGTGTTGTACATGTGACCATCTGAACAAAGGAGTTCATATTGGCACCGATTATTTTACATACTTGATCAGTGACCTAGAAATAGTGCAGAATCTTAAATATTTTAATACTGTGAAGCAGCTTTGAAACCGTCTGTATTGTATAAAGTGCTATCTGAATAAATCTGACTTGACTTTATTATTATTATTAAAGAATTTAACAAATATATATATATATACACACACACACAATTTATTAGAAATATAATAATAATAATAATTATTATTATTATTATGCAAAACATATACAATTTATTAGAAATATAATAATTTTGTGAAGCAGCTTTGAAACAGTCTGTATTATATAAAGTGCTATCTGAATAAATCTGACTTGACTTTATTATTATTATTAAAGAAATTAACAACACACACACACACACACACAGACACACAAATTATTAGAAATTGTGGCGGGAGGAGCAAACAGACACAGTTTTATTTAACAGAAATGAGGCAGCCGATCCATCACAAAATATAATAATAATTATTATTATTACTATTATGCACAACATAAACAATTTATTAGAAATATAATAATAAACATAACTGCAGGCAGCAGTTACCGTGGTTCAAGCGTTGTAAGAGCAATTATAGACATTTTTAAGGGGTCATGAACTGCCTTTTTTTCAGCCAGATTTTCAGTTCGGACCTTACCGTATAAATGATGCCATGTATTAATGTGCTTTCTCAGGACATTGTCTGATGTATATTTTTAAAAAAGGCAAAAAGCAGAAGGTTTAATACCAGATTTGTAAAATAAATCATAGAAATGTCATGAAAAAGGCATGGGAATTAATATGCCAAAAGCTGGCAATCGCATCTAGAGAATTGTGTGCTTCCAAATTTGTGGCAGCAGTTTGGACGGGCCTGACAGCGTGACCTGAACATCTTTGGGACAAACTGGAATGGCAGCTGCAAGCTTCACCCAATACCAGTTCCTGACCTCGCTGATGTTCTTTCAAATCCCCACAGCCATGTTCCAGCATTTAGTGGAATGCTTTCCTGGAATAGTGGAAGCTGTTATAGCAGCAAAGGAGGGATTAATGCAGATGGTTTTGAAATTAAATGTGCAACAAGTACATATGAGTGTATGTTTGGGTCTCCACATACTTTGACAATGTAGTGAATATAAAAAAAAAAAAGAAAAAAAGAAAGTCACTCAGTGTTAGTTGCCAACCTTTGATCTTTCCCTTTCTCTCGGTCTGTCAGGTATGCAGGACTTTAACTATCTTAGCAGCAATTGTTTTGAGATCACTCTGGAGCTGAGCTGTGATAAGTTTCCTCCTGAGGACGCACTCAAGCAGTACTGGGACCAGAACCGTAACTCACTGGTCAACTACATAGAGCAGGTACAGCCCAATTCTTTCTGATGCCTAGTTTTTGTTTGAAAATGCTGGCAGGCAGAGAGTTGTTTTGTTTTCTATCAAGCTCAGACTCGTGAGTCAGGATTAGAAGGGGGTAGGTTTCATCCCGTTTTGATCCCTCATGTCCTTCACAGGTTCACAGAGGAGTGGCGGGATTTGTTCGTGATCTCCAAGGAAACCCCATCTCAAACACTTCTATTTCCGTTGAAGGAATTGACCACGATATCACCACAGGTACACACACACACACACACACACACACAGGTTTGTTTTTGTGAAAAGTGGGGACATCCCATAGGCGTAATGGTTTTTATACTGTACAGACCGTATATTCTATTGCCCTACACCAACCCTACCCCTAAACCTACCCCTCACAGGAAACTTTGTGCTATTTCAGATTTTCAATACACTCCATTCTGTGTGATTTATATGCGTTTTGAAAAGTGGGGACATGGGGTAATGTCCTGAAAAGTCACCTTCTCCTTGTAATACCTATGTCATACCCTTGTCATTATACAAATTTATGTCCTCATTTGTCACAAAAACGCGCACACACACACACACACACACACACACACACAGCAATTTGAATTAATTAAAAAGGCTAGGCACAACTATATATATATATATTACTTGATCAGTGACCTAGAAGTTGTGCAAAATATTAAATATTTATTATTATAATTATTGTTAATTATTATACAATTGTATCAAATATAAATTATGATTGATACTTTTTTTTTAATGCCAGGTTTTGAATTTGGACCTTACATTTTATTCCATGGATTTATGTGCTTCCTCAGAAATATTATATTATATAACTAAACAAGCAATGAATAAAGTATTTTTTGTAACTTTTCAGAGAATTACAATATTACAAATATTTACAAAAAAAAAAAAAAAAGGGTTATTATTATTATATTTTAACAAATAATGAATAAAGAGTTTTTTAACTCTTCATGGAATTCTGTCTAGGAAATTCCTAGACAGCAAAAAAATAAAATAAATAGAAAGCAAAAAAAAACAAAAAAACACATTTCACCTTTAAGACATCTTTTGTTTAGGTTTCTGTTGAAAACGTAGTGTGTAGGACTCCCCTCTTGTGGCCACTTTTGGAAGTGAAATTTCAAATGTAAATCACTCTCCTTGTTTTTTTTATTTTCTTTCTTTAGCTAAGGATGGCGATTACTGGCGCTTGTTGGGTCCTGGTAACTACAAAGTGTCAGCATCTGCTCCTGGGTACCTCACTGTGGTCAAGAAAGTCGCTGTTTCGCATAGCCCTGCCACACGGGTAAACACACACCCTCTCTTCTCTCGCTTTTCTCATTGTATCTCATGTCCTATTCTGATGTCTCCATCTTTCTCACTCTCAGCTGGATTTTGAGCTGGAATCGCTGGAAGAGAGGAAGGAGGAAGAGAAGGAGGAGCTCATGGATTGGTGGAAGATGATGTCAGAGACACTCAACTTCTAACTTACCTGAGGCGGGGGCCATCACAAGCATTATGGGTGTAAAATATTTATTGTTGCTGTATGTGTGTGCTCATCAACTTAAAATAGCATAATTCAGTTTATTGGTTTGTTTTGATCGTTTTGCATTAGAGGTACTGCATTTTACCATTTATAACAGCCATATGTACATTAAGCCATTCATACATGTTAACAAAGACAGCCAGTGTTAAAGCTGGTCTAAATATTTGCATATATGGTTATCCTTGTAAATATGGATGAATATATGTATCTCCACTAAGTGAAATGCTATGTAGGTCTGGTGAAGTGCCCCTAAAGTCAAGTTGACCCTATTGCAGGGTTTTTGCGATTTAGATCAACCGGGTTAGTGTTACTTCAGAGCAAGTTTCCTGCAGTCATGCAAAGGTTATTACTGTACATGCACACACAGAAAAGAAACACGTAGAACACAGACAGTTGATATCGTGGAGGCCGATTGACCGATCTATCACTCTTTTGTAAAGTTGTGTTTTACATTGATATTGTGAGATTATTTTGTAGCTATGATCACCGATCACACCAACCAATCAGAGAGCACTGTGTTGTGATGAATGTACATGTCAGCAATGAATATTACTATTTATTCTGATTGTGACTGATTATGACTGAAGCCATTGTAGACTCATTTACATCTGATCTCAAGTCTCTTTCTGTTCCTGTGGGTTTCAATCAAATTATGCTTGATGTTTTGAATGGGAGTGCTTTTGATAAACCTGTTTCATTTATAAATGCTTTAATAATTATAACTTTGAATATCATATCCAGACAATTGCTCAGATGAAAAGAAAATGGAAGAGGTTATCAATTGAACTCCTATCTTATGTTTTAAGAACTATATAGGAAATTAAATAATTATGAACATATGATAGCTATAAATCTGTTCTGTGTTTGTAAAGCAGAGAGTTTCATTTCAGATCATATAACAGCAGATTTTAATGGCACAAACTAATAAAATAGACATTTGTTTAGATCTGATGGTTTTGTAATCAATACCAAACTGCACAATTGGGCCCGATGAAGTACTATCTGCGGTCTTTATTGAATTTTATTGTCTTTTTTTTTTGTCTCTTTCAGTATCTTTATAGTTAGTGTATTTCTGTAAATTACTATTTATTCTGATTGTGACTGATTATGACTGAAGCCATTGTAGACTCATTTACATCTGATCTCAAGTCTCTTTCTGTTCCTGTGGGTTTCAATCAAATTATGCTTGATGTTTTGAATGGGAGTGCTTTTGATAAACCTGTTTCATTTATAAATGCTTTAATAATTATAACTTTGAATATCATATCCAGACAGTTGCTCAGATGAAAAGAAAATGGAAGAGGTTATCAATTGAACTCCTATCTTATGTTTTAAGAACTATATAGGAAATTAAATAATTATGAACATATGATAGCTATAAATCTGTATTATCTGTGTTTGTAAAGCAGAGAGTTTCATTTCAGATCATATAACAGCAGATTTTAATGGCACAAACTAATAAAATAGACATTTATTTAGATCTGATAGTTTTTGTAATCAATACCAAACTGCACAATTGGGCCCGATGAAGTACTATCTGCGGTCTTTATTGAACGTTCTGTAATATATTGTCTTTTTTTTTTGTCTTTTTCAGTATCTTTATAGTTAGTGTATTTCTGTAATATGAAATGGCACGTTAATGCTGAATCAATCAACATTATGATCAAGTCTATAATCCTGCATTCAGAATTTCTCATTGATCCAAATGTTAACCATCTAGTTTGGGAAATTTCTTGATCTGAATTAAACCCAAGCTTAAACTTTCAATATTAATGTCATAAATTGGCATTTCAAGTCAGCTTATGTATTTCTCCTTTGAGACTTAAGTGGTATGTCTTGTATATGAATGTAATGATGGATTAATCGAATGATGCAATTCGCAACCAAAATAAACTTCCCTTTCTGTTGTCAGTCTGCTTCCTGTATTTCATCTTTCTATGCGATAAAACAACTTCCATCACAGTTGTCTGTTTTGTCTGAATAGCCGCAAATGCTAATATTAATAGTAATATAAGTGCAACAGTGTTGCAGTAGCATGTAGGGTCTAGAAACTAATCAGTCAGTTACTTCATTATAAGTTCCAATTCACTCATGCTCAGTCAACATGCCCAAAAAAAAACCACTGTAATGATAATATATTGCAAGCAGAGTAAATATCTCAAGTCCTAACCTTCATGACTGTATCCAATATCCAACAATTAAAAACATTCAACATCATAATTTTGGTCTAATCTGTTTTTTAAAAAAAAGAAGAAGAATCTGTTTTAAAAAATAAGAAAAAAAGACAGAGAGAAAAAATAATAAAACCACCCTTAATTATTAAATTAAAGGGACTATAGCAGGTATTGAGAATTCAGAAATCCTTGTTATTAGCGAAGAAGAAAAAGAAGTTGGAAATATCTTTGCAGCGATATACTGTTAACGAACATGCAGACGCCATCCTTGATGCTGAGATTGACATTTAGATGAATATGTAAATACGTGCTGCGTGCTTTCCTCATATAACAAAATAAACACAAACACACACACACACACAAACAGCTGTGAGAAAGCAGTGGTAAAGAAAGCATCTAATAATAACGATGTGGATATGTTTGCACCAGATCTGCAATTTCACTGATATAACTGATGGACTGGAGTCGTGTGGATTACTGTGATGTTTTTATCAGCTGTTTGGACTCTCATTCTGACGGCACCCATTCACTGCAGAGCATCCATTGGTGAACAAGTGATGCAATGCGACATTTCTCCAAATCTGTTCTGATGATGAAACAAACTCATCTACATCTTGGATGGCCTGAGGGTGAGGACATTTTCAGTAAATTAACATGCAATGCGACATTTCTCCAAATCTGTTCTGATGATGAAACAAATTCATCTACATCTTGGATGGCCTGAGGGTGAGGACATTTTCAGTAAATTAAAATTTTTGGGTGAACTGTTCCTTTAAGTCTCAAGCCGTTGCAATGTAAACGAATTTGCCTCTGAGATTAAGCAAAAGTTTGTGAACAAAGTCTTAAATTCGTAAGTTTACATATCTTCGGTAAAGGTAAAGTTCACTCTTCTTTACTGCTATTCGCAAAGTTCTGCAGTTAATGTAAAGTTGTGTAGACACGACGTTATTCAGCTCTATTCTGTGTAGTTGCTGGCATAGCAGATCCAAGCAATCTCGCCCATTTTTCATTCCTTACCTATTAGCATAAACCTGATCAATACTATTGATCAGAGAGGAGACAGCAACTGTATGGCAGTTCTCCTGTTAGCCCAAAGGGATCTCAGAATGCCTAAAACAGCAATACTATCTCTACTTCTCTCATTACTTCCCTGCGAGAGGGGTGAGAGTAGCATTGATGTGTTTAATTAGAGCTCAAAAATACACATGAGCTCCAGTCTCCCAGGAGAGCTGACACCGATATCGTATTGAACGCATTAAACAACAGCACAAAGTTTCACAAATGGCCAATTACTTTACTTTTGCACTCGAGTATTTGGAGTCTTGGCTTACTTTGGCATGTTGGACACTTTCTTTTCTGATTGTTTCTCCCCCTGCATTTTTCCTAAAAGTTCTGTTTGTTTTTTTTTTCTTTCTTTTTTCAAACATGGCCATGTCAAAATATTAGGCCTATATAAGGAAATGAAACCAGTGCAATATTGCAAGTAAAAAATTTTTTAATTGACATTACTATGAAATCAAATTTATTAGACATTTCTTGTGAACATCAACAGAGGGCGCTGCTGAAGCATTTTGTTAAATGTTGGCTAAAATGGACAATGAATGATAACTTATATGGTAGACATTTAGAGGAAGAGTTCTTATAACTTTTTTAATCAGCTCTCATGTACAAAAGTGCATATGTATCATTTAAATTATAGCCATGTTCCACACATTCATATGCCATTGAGACTCTAGTTTTAAATGAAGCAACATGTGAACTGACACAGAATGTTGTTTTACCCCATTTCCCCAATCAATGCACGGTGGCTAATGCTCATAAGGTGCCCACATTATCAGCCTTAACATACAAAATGTTAACAAAAGCAGTCCTGTGGATCTTTGCTGTGGTGCAGAATGAGTGTGAAATAGATAACAGACACATAAATGAGACAAAAGAGAAATTCAGGCATCAGGAATGAAAAAGACATGAGATAGATATGGTCACATGCTAGCTGTGTATTCAAGTGTGTGTGTGTGTGTGTGTGTGTGTGTTCGTAGGGCAGCATTGCTTTGATCCGAGACCTGTTTCAAATCCTCTCCTTTCAGTCCTCTTCCCTTTTTCTGTATTTCTCCTTTGTTCTTCGATTTTGATTCTCAAATACAGTATGTGTAAGTAAATGCATTTTGCACCTTTATAAATCATGTTAGTTGATCTACTGTATAATGGGCGATGGGCAACTAGTGTAATCTATTAACTAGGCTACACATATTAAGTAGACCTACCAGATATGGGTGTCATGCCATCAAATATTTTTAATATGACTGACTTTGTATTTAGCATGAATTTAATAAAAACATTGTAAGTTAGCCTACTAATTATAACACTTTCATTGTACAGAAAGAGAGCAAAGAACATTTACATTATCAAAGAACATTATCATTGACGTCTAGCCAGAGTTCAAACACTCTCAAAAACTCCCATTATAATCACTGAAGCTGTTTACACTGTCTTTCTTACATTCGTACACACATCTGCACTTGGTGTTTCTGATGAGAGCAGAATTCAGTCAGCGACACGCGCAGTGAACAAAACTCCGGGGCAGCATTGCTTTGATCCGAGACCTGTTTCAAATCCTCTCCTTTCAGTCCTCTTCCCTTTTTCTGTATTTCTCCTTTGTTCTTCTGGGTGGCCTAACCTTCTCTTCTTTCTCCAAATATCCTTCTATCACTGGGCTGTGAACACCATCCTAATCTGTGTGTGTGTGTGTGTACAGTATGTGTGTGGATGTCCAAAGAAAGAAAAATGAGAGAGAATCACATTAATGTTTGTGAGTATCTGTCGGTTTGAACTAGTGTATGTGTGTGTGTGTGTGTGTGTGAGTAAGAGAGAGAAAAGGGGGAGATGCTGGAAAGGTCATTGGGTCCAGTATATGTATTGTGATGGTAATCATGGGATTTGATCATCCTGTATTCTTCTATAGTCTCTTTTCTGTTTTACATGCTTTGGCATTCTCTGTGGCTGTAACAATTATCATTAAAAAAATGGTGGTGCAAAGCATTTTTTCAAAATAAATAAAAAATGGTGACAAATAACACTATTG